TAGAAACCCTATTCAAACAGTGTGATTGTTAGTGATTTTGCCATTTACAGACTTGCAATATTTATTACGGTTTATGTCTTTAACGACTTTGGGGTGCATGTCGAATTTATTTATGAGAGTAATTCAGGTTTTGATATATTAATATATTTTGTGTGATACATATTTTGTGGCTGAAAAAAAAAGTTCTTTAGAAAAAATTTTTTTTTGACAAATTGTACAAATTATACAAATATAATAAAAAACCACAATGGAAAACACTTTGGGTGAAAATAAACATCATAATGATACCTTACTGATAAAAATGATGAATATTCAAAGAAAAGATATGCAATGTATGGGAAATGTCCAACATGCAACAGATATAATACCAATTATTCATGGTGTCAATCATGTGATCCAAAACTATTAACTGAAGGATGGACTAGTGGCAATGAAACATTAGATGAGTTGATTAAAAGTACACAACTTAAAGCAACTAAGTATGATAATTATTATCATCTTCAATGGATTCCTTATAATGATTTAACAAATATTGAAAAGATAGGTGAAGGTGGGTTTTCAACTATATCCAAAGCTACTTGGTTAAATGGTTATAAAAGTATAAATTATTATTATAACAATGAAATAATTAGCAAGGATATGCCTGTGGCACTAAAAAAAATACATAATTCACAGAATATTTCTGATGAATTTCTTAATGAGGTAGATTATTTTATTTTCTATTTATTTTCTAATTTTTTAAATATTATTCTGAAAATCAATATATTTTTTTTATATAGTTTAGAAATTATGTCACATTTTATAATGAATCATTTATAAATAAAATTTATGGATTAACACAAGATCCAGCTACAAAAGAATATATATTTGTAATGAAATACATGGATGATGGAAGTCTTCAATATTATGATGATGAATATATTAGAAAAGAAAAATATGGGGAATGTCCAACATGCAATAGATACAATACCAATAGGACATATATTTTTTTTATATAGTTCAGAAATTATGTTACATTTTATGGTAAATATTTTATAAATAAAATTTATGGATTAACACAAGATCCAGCTACAAAGGAATATATCTTTGTAATGGAATACATAAAAGATGGAAGTCTTCAATATTATGATAACAAATATATTAGATATGAATTTTATGGTGAATGCCCAACATGCAAGAGATATAATACTAATTATTCATGGTGTCAATCATGTGATCCAAAGCTATTAACTGAAGGATGGACTAGTGGCAATGAAACATTAGATGAGTTGATTAAAAGTACACAACTTAAAGCAACAAGATATGATAATGATAATTATCTTCAATGGATCCCTTATAATGATTTAACAAATATTGAAAAGATTGGTGAAGGTGGGTTTGCAACTATATACAAAGCTATTTGGTTAAATGGTTTAAAATATATAAATTATAAAAATAATGAAAGACATAGTGAAGATATGCCTGTGGCATTAAAAAAACTACATGATTCACAGAATATTTCTGATGAATTTCTTAATGAGGTAAATTATTTTATTTTCTGTTTATTTTCTGATTTTTAAATATTATTGATTATTATTGTCATAATTAAATATTTTATTTATTATTTAGTTCAAAAATTATATGAAGTTTCATGGTAAAATTTATATAATTCATATTTATGGATTAATACAAGATCCAATTACAAAAGAATATATATTTGTAATGGAATATATGGAAGATGGAAATCTTCAAAATTATTTAACTAAAGATTTTAAAAATTTAAAATGGAAAAACAAAATTTTTATGCTTGGACAAATTATTAGTGGTTTAAAAGATATTCATAAAAAAGAAATTATCCATCATGATCTTCATAGCGGTAATATTCTTCAAAAAGATGAATGGAATTCATATATTGCAGACTTAGGATTATCATGCACATCTAATCAAACATTATCATCAAACAAAAATGATATATGTGGAGTACTACCATACATTGCACCAGAAGTTTTAAAAAAGAAAACATATACAAAAGCATCAGATGTATACAGTTTTGGAGTTCTGATGTCTGTAGTATCAACTGGCCAACAACCATTTAAT